GCTTCACATTCACATAGATATGTCTGCAACGATTCATCATCCAATTGGCCGCCATTCTTCTCTAAAATTGCTGACGACACTGCGTACAGTGTGAATTTGGCGTTCCCAAATTCCTCCCATATGGCTTGCCGAAGGGATATTCATTTTAAATGTGATCCAGTCACAGTTGTTCTTTAGCAATTCTTCTTTAATTTGGTCATCATCAAATTCTATCACGGCTTCCCTGAGCTCTCTCCTTGCACCCACAAAATTACTTCCTTGGTCGCTCTGGAGTTGACAAACCGGTCCTCTGCGGCATATGAAACGGCGGAGCGTGTTAATAAAGGATGCTGTATCCAGCGAATTGGCAGTCTCCAGGTGTACAGCCCTTGATGCCATACAGGTAAATAAAACACCATATCTCTTCGCCTCTCTTCTTCCTTCCCTAACCAGCCAAGGACCAAAGTAATCCACGGCACTAAAGGTGAAAGGTGGTGCTGATTCTGACCGATCTAGCGGAAGGTCTGCCATCTTCTGCTCCTCGACCACACCTCTAAGCTTTTGACACTTGACACACTTCAATATGTGCGAGGCAACTGCAGAGGATCCGCCTACTATCCAATACCCACAAGATCGAACTTGGTTGATGGTCATGCCTCTTCCTTGATGGTTTACTTGTTCGTGGCAGTGTTTAACTATGAGGTTACCAATGTGACTCTTTCCTGGGACGATTAATGGAAACTTGACAAACTCTGACATTCGCCTTTGTCACGGCCCGCCATCTTGGATTACGTCATTGAATATTGTACATGAGGTCGAGGCCACGCGTGGTAAGTTCACAAACAAAATGGCGACTAGTAGCGATAGCGTTGAACTCGAATTTTGGCACAAAAATATAACAAAAATACCCAAAGTTACAAACTCTTTTGTTGAGGATTTTGCTGAGAAGAACCTACCGATCAAAGCCACTGTAACAAGAGGATATAAATTCTTTCACGAAGAATATATTCACGATATTGAAGGTGAGCCTCGTTGACCTCGTGGTAGCTTTCTTTGTTTGACTGTCTTTCCAATATTTTGTTTCTGTGCTCAGTGTTTTGAGTTTTAACTCTTTTTCTCGGTTTTTAACAGTAAAACTTTGCAAGGAAGAGGATTCAGGAGTAGTGGCTCGGGCTAAATGCTTCAGAAGTATGAAAAAGAACGAAGATCCTCACAAGTTGTCTGTTGTGTTCGAGAGCTCCTCTATTGAGGCTAGCATCAACAAGTATATGTGTAGTTGTGCTGCTGGACAAGGTCTTTGCCATCATGTTCTTGGATTGCTCTATACTCTTGCCCATTTCCAGCTATTAGGCTTAAAAAGTGTCCTGCCAATGGTTTCTAAAACATCAAAGGCACAGGTAAAATTTAATAATAATAATAATAGATTTGATGATAAACAATAAGAAAAAACAGTCATTAATGTATAGAGATTTGACTGTATCTTACCAATATTTTTCCTTAAAAACTCCTTTTAATCACACTGCTGTTTTTAAACATAACACAATAAGCAATTTTGAATTCATATAGTATATTTGTATATTATTTTTTTGCAGAGATGGCATATCCCCAGTCGTAAAGAGGGCATTAAAGCAAGGCCAGTGACAGATTTGATTATACAAAAGTCAAAGCCAAAAGATAAATTGCATGAACCTAAAAAGAAGAGAAAGGTGTGTGGTGTGGCAAGCACGATCTACAAACCCTTCCAGCAATCATTAAGTAGCCTTGACTTGACTAGTGTGCTGTCGCCACAGTTTGAAAATCTCAACAATCAACCTGGATTTATGAGAATATGGGAAGATGAACAAAGTGAGCCTCCAATTTTAGTAGACTCGGCCTTTGGAAAGGTGCCAAAAGGCTGTGTCATAAGCTATCAACAGCCATTGAAAGTTAAGAGCAATATTAACATACAGCTACCTGCATTCAACTTTCCATCTTTAAGCTATCCAGATACAGTGCTCAATGAAAAACAAGACCTTTTCTTCAGCTCCCTTGCAATATCAGGTCAACAGTCTATTGACTTTGAAATGGAGACAAGGGAACAGTCAACTACAACAGCATGGCATGAACTAAGGAAGTTTAGGCTTACAGCTTCAAATTTCAAAGATATATGCTCAAGAAGAAAAGACCATGAAATCCTTTCTACGCGTTTACTAAAGGGAAAAGTAATCCAAACTGCAGCCATGAAATATGGGATACAAAATGAGGGGGTAGCTGCTGATATGTACAAAACACAGTTTGGCAGAGACACTCACCTAGTAGGTTTTCTTATAAACCCATGTCTCCCACACCTAGGCTGTAGCCCAGACAGAAGAGTGTTTGACGACACTGAACAACATCCATGGGGCCTGATAGAAATAAAGTGCTCTCCAGCAAGTCATCTGGATAACCTTCAGTATTTAAAGTTTAATGAACGAAATGGGTCATATTCATTGAAGAAGACACACAAGTATTATTATCAAGTTATGGGATGCCTTGGTTTAACAGGAAGTCAGTGGTGCGATTTCTTTGTTTACTGCAAGGACGAATTTCACTGTGAACGAGTATATTTTGATGAACTTCTCTTTTCTGAAATGCTGGACAAACTGAATGTATTTTTTTTTTGATTATCACCTGAATACATGTGTTCAATAATTTATTGTATGTCTCTTATACAAAATAACTTCGTGCCTAAGTAACAAGCTAATTGTGTGTGACAAAGTTTGGTGGGAAGTGGAGTAAAGACATTTGAATCAGCATTCTTAAAATGTTAAAATGTAACAAGTCAAACCTAATTAGACTCAGAACTTGTTCTAGTAATTATCATTACACAGCTGTTTGCAGAAATTATTGCCACAACTTTAAAAACATTGGGTTCATGATTGGTAATTTAATAGTTTTTGTATTTTTCCAAAAATACAATACTTATGATAATTCAGTTTCATTTAAGCCTATATGTCTGTAATATATTGTAAGCGCCATAATTTTTACAAACAGCTGTACATATTTCATTGTTTATCATGCATTCAAATACTGTGACTAAGTTGGGTGTATTTCAAGCCATTTAATAGTTTTTTACTGTTATTAAACAGAACATTCTGTACAAACATGATAAATAAAAAAATACATGAATGACTTCAACAGGTTTTGTATTTAAACCCCAAAAGGGCATTTTTATAATATTTGGCAATAATGAAATTTGTGAATAAATGTAAAGTTATTAAATTCATATTTTTTTTTTTTCCAAAAGCTAGTTTGAAAGCTTGCATTGAATCTGTAAAACAAAAATAGTACTAACAATATAATTTTTACTGATTTTACTGTTTATTTTAATGCCTAACCAATATGCCATGTACATACGAAAAGGGTGCCCCTAGGGGATAGGGCCACCCTACTATTCACCCTTCCACATCACATGTTAACAGATGGCATAGTTCTTACCTAGGTTGGACCTAATACGTAGTGTACCCTCACTCAATGTCAACTAACTCTTAGTTGTTAAAAGTTGTTAGTACTATTTGTATTACAGATCCTTACATACTTTACTTTAAATGATGCTTACTCTTCCATCTATTTTACAACAATTGTATACATATTTAGATATATTGCTTTTCATGCAACAAAGGCCCCTGAAATTGGTAATAAGACATGCCACTGTCCATATTTGATTAATGCTGCCAGCTACTGTAAGAGGTATAACTTTATCAAAATAGTGAAACTCTTTCACCCTTCTTATGGCCCTTTCCACATGGACTCTTAAATTATGTATCTGTTTACTGGTTGAAAGTTCTTTCTTTGAAAATTGACCCTTACTTGACAAAAAGGCAGGCATTGCTACTCCACAACCTATTGGCTTTAATAGATCCTCTATAGTAAATCCTTTATCAGCCATTATTTGATCACCTGGCTCAAGTAAATTCAACAAACCTGATTGCTTAACAAGCTCCTTGTCAGAAATACTTCCTTCAAAAAGAGAACTTACATGAATAATTTCCCCAGATGGAGATATTACAACATTGCCTTTGTAAGTTGTGTGGCTTTTATATGATGAATAGCAATTGCTATTCAAAACCATACTAGATGGTGCTTGTACCTTGATCTCTGAGGCATCAATAATACCACGGCATTTAGGATATAACAATTTAAAACACTTAGGCATATGTTTGTCAATTTTGCCCGAGAGGGCCATATAGGAATGGTTCCCAAAACAAAATAGAGAAAGTTAACCCAAGAAATAAAAACTCTACTCACAGTTGAAATAGAAATATCAAATTCACTGGCTAGTTTCTCATTAAAAGTACCCAGCCTCAGCTTAGTAATGCATAAATAAAACTGATCAAATAAGCTAAGTTTGCATGTCTTGAGAGTGTCTCTCATGTTACTTATATCTTTCCCTTTTTTGCTCGTGCTCTCTGTACTTGGGACCATGAAAACATACTTTCAGCTGTGGGTCTAAGGGCATTGAAGGTACTCACAAAAATAGCAAATGACGAAAAGCCAGTATGGAATCTAACGCGTTTGTCTGACATCCCTTTCAGTTGTCTGTAAAAGATTGTTTTGAAAGCAGCTGTTCTAATTGTTCGATACGAGCTTGCGCTGCCTCAAGTAGCTCTTCTACAGGCTTTTCGGGTTCAGTAAATAAATAATCATGTAGGTTGACAGTAGGTGTTATGATTGTGGTGTCAGTAGTTACGGTGGAGTCCTCCATGTGGCTGCTAGTATCGATGACATTTTCGTCTCACGCTTGAATCTTGATGGGCCCAATTTCGACTGTGGGAATGTAGAAAATAACATGTTTAGAAATATTTAGGGCGGGCCTAAAGTACGATTTCATAAAAAATAAATACCTGTAGAGGAGATTGGCTGTATATTATCCACGACATCAATCTCGGTTGTGTTAGTACGTGTTGTGCATTCGCGTTTCGTTGGTGACTTTCGTTTCTTTGATAAAGTTGTCCATTCAAAAACGGATGGTACAGCACCATTAACGAGTACACTTTTTCCTGTTAGTTTTTTTTTATATCTGTGGGTTTAAAATGATCAGAGCAAACTCTTGTACTGTTGGTTATCTGAAAGATATCGGAAAAAATATAAGGTTTGCTATATAAACAACGCTGAAACGACGCTAAACTGAACTATGATATATAAAAGGCCATTTACCTTGAAGGACCGGCCGACATCACGCTTAATTTTTATAATCCACTGTCTTCTTAAGTCTTTGTCTTTCGGGAATTGATGAAAGGTTATATTAGACTGCACTTTTGATCTATTGTTATTGCACTTAGGAACACAACAGTGATCTTTGTTCCGCATGATCGCTCGAGTGTTTGTTACACACTCAAATCACCAGATTAATTAAACACAAGGTTGTATTTATTCGAAAACTCCGAGCACATTCTTTTCTGTTTTTTTTCCCGACACCCTTTGTGGTTCATGAACTCAACAAAACATGTCACGCACTCTACACACTTCCCCGCCGAAAAATGAAAGTGTTCTTCTAAATATTACAAAACTATTTATCAGAGTTCTCTGCAGCTACTGTAATTGTTGTTTGACGTTGTCTCCTTCAGCACCTTGCGTGCTTTTGATTTTTTTTTTTTTGTTTTTTTGTTTTTTTTGTTTTAATGTTTGGGTCTTATAAGAGGCTCCTCTCAAGCCCTCGGGTAGTAGACAGGTTGGAAACAGCATGGCCACACCCAGAAATACAGGGGTATTCCCGGATGAATAGCTGTGATAGCTGGAGTTTGAATGGCGTTAACGCGTGAACTGCTGAATACTGGCTCAGCCGACTGGTACTGTGGATTTCCCAGGGAGTTGTAAGTTAAGATCTGCGGCGGTCTCCTTTGGCGCTGCGGCCGAGTCCACATGTCCTGCTCAGCAATGTCCTCTCCCTCTGATCCGTCATTGTCAGCACTTCCTTCATTTGCAAGTTGTATTTCGCTGGATGGCCCATTGGTGCCCTCAGTAGTCGCAGAATCCTCAATTGACTCTGAAGGCAAATCGCGTCCTGGAGACACTGAGTTTGAAGTTCTTACTTCAGTAGGTATTTCCTCTACAAGGTCCACACTACCGAAATCATCATCATCTTTCCCCGAATTCTGTAGGTCATTTCCCGAAACAGACAAAGGTCGTTTCTCTACTGCTGATTTTGGGGTCGCGTACCAAATCCCAGGTTTGGGGCATCTGCTTCCAAAGCGTCACAAGGCAGTAGTAAATTCCGTGAAGCACTCTTCTTGTGGCCACCTCCACTCTCGGGCTTAACTTTGTAGACTGGGCTTTGAGCCCCATTCGTTCAACCACAACGTGGATAGCGCACTCCCAATGGGATCGTAATTTTCCGGGTCCACCGCGCTCTGTTAAGTTTCTAACTAGCACCCGATCGCCTGGCTGAAGAACGCCACCTGAGACTCTCTTGTTGTAATATTGCTTGCCGCGCGGCGGCAGTCTTCTTTGCATTCTGTTGAGCTATCCGGTATGCCTCCTTCATATCATGCTGCCAGTTTTGGACGTAAGTGTTATAATCTCCCTCTGCACTCTCTTGATTCAAATTGAAAATCAGGTCGATGGGCAGGCGGGTGTTCTTCAAACAACAAGTAATACGGAGCGTATCCTGTCGCCTCATGCTTAGTGCAATTTGTACGCGTGGATCATCTTGTTGAGTGATTCATCCCACTTTCGTTTCTTCAAATCTGGGAGTGTTCGCAGCATAGACAATAGCGTGCGGTTCATCCTCTCCACTTGCCCATTCCCTTGAGGGTGGTAGGGGCTGGTGCGAGACTTGGAAACGCCAGACAACTTATGTAGTTGATGGAAGAGATTGTTCTCAAATTCTCCTCCTTGATCACTGTGTATACGGGCTGGGAATCCGAATCTTGGTACAAAGTCATTGTAAATCTTTTCAGCCACCGTTCGTGCTGTCTTGTTTCGGGTTGGGTAGGCCTGTGCAAACCTTGTGAAGTGATCTACTATCAGCAAAATGTATTCAAATCCCGTTGGCTTTTCTCCAAATGAAGAAAGTCTATAGACACCATCTCAAAAGGGGCAGTCGTCGTAATGCTCTCCATTGGTGCTCTAGGGAGATTTGGGGCTTCTTTTGCTGGATGCAGTGACACTTGTTGGCGATGAAATACTCGATTTCCTCTTGCATGTAAGGCCAATAGAACCTAGATCTCGCTAAGTCCACCACTCGATCTGCACCCAGATGACCCATTTCAATGTGAAGTTCTTGGTAAACCAACTGTTTAAACTTTGTGGGTAATACTAGCTGCAATCGACTCTTAGTTTGGCGCCACAGGATCCCGTCCGCTGATATATGGAGTTTATTCCATGCTCTCAAGTAGCAAGATGTTGTACGAGTCTCATTTTTCCGCTCTCCTCCTGATGGGGATATCCCCGTTTCTTGTAGGCCAGGATTCGTGAGATGTCGGGGTCTTCCCGTTGAGCCCTTAATATTTCTTCTAACGTAAGTTGGCGAAAAACCAAATCTGTGACGCCCGGTTCTGCGTGAGCAATGCCAACTCTTGCTGAAACTGCTGCCACCCAGGGTGTGGCGTCTGTTTCCTGATGGATCACTGCTTGACTTGTTGCACAAATTGCGTCCTTTTCCATTTCTGCAATACAGGTTTCCATGTATGCACTGAAATCTAGCGGTAGGCGGGATAGTACATCCGCGTCAATGTTAGATTTGCCAGGCCGATACTTGATGTTAAAATTAAAATCTGCCAGTTCTGCCACCCACCGGTGCCCTACTGCAGACAACTTAGCTGACGACAGAATGTAAGTTAGTGGATTGTTGTCGGTGTAAACAGTGAAGAAGGTGGAGTAGTACAAGTAATCACGGAACTTCTCAGTTACTGCCCATTTGAGGGCAAGGAACTCCAATTTTCCGCGTGCATGTGGTAATTTTTCTCTGCTGGAGTTAGTGTCCTAGAGGCATAACCTAGAACTCTGAGCTTCCCGTCCTGTTCTTGATACAATACAGCTCCAAGTCCCTCTTGCGAGGCGTCTGTGTGAAGTACAAATGGCTTCGTAAAGTCGGAAATGCCATCACTGGAGGAGAAGTCAGTCGGTCGACCAGCATGTCAAGCCGCTTCTGATGTTCCTCTGTCCATGTTACCTTATGATTATTAGCCAATAGATCAGGGCCAGCCATTAGATCGTACAGGGGCTTAGCTATGCGTGAGAAATCCTGGATGTATTGCCTGTAGTAACTCAGGAACCCTAGCAGTTTACGCACATCACCCACTGTTGCTGGTTTCTGTTTCGCCAAGTTGTGTACGGCAGCCGTGTCCTCTGGGTCTAGAGAGTAGCCATCGCCGGAAACAACCCCCGCCCAAATATCTAACTTGTCGTTGGAAGAACTTGCACTTTGATGGCTTTAACTTTATCCCATGTTCCTGCAGTCGACGCAGGACTTGTTGGACATCCTGAACGTGTTGCTCAAAGGTCTTACTATACACCAAGACATCATCCAGGTAGGGAATACAGATGTTGTCACGTAAGCCATCTAGACATTCATTCATGCACCTTTGAATGCCGCCGGTGCATTCATTAGCCCAAACGGTATTCTATTCCATTGATACAATCCCCAGGGGGTCACGAATGCAGTCAGGGGGCGGCTTTCTTCTGTCATAAAGCCTTGGTGGTAGGCCTTCCCTTGGTCCAGAACTGTAAACCATTTGTTGCCGCCTAGGCCATTTAAGATATCCTGTATACGGGGAATCGGCTGTCGTTCTGGATATGTTTTCTTGTTCAATTCTCGATAATCAATACAAAGTCGCAGACTTCCATCCTTTTTGCGAACACAGACCATGGGTGAGGAGTAAGCCGAACAGGACTTGCAGATCCAATTTCGATTAATCAAGTCTTCTAAGTACTCTTTCACTTCCCCATAGAGTGGCTTGGGGATGGAGATATAGTTCTTCTGTACTGGCTCATTGTCCTTTAACTGGAGATCAAGCACCAAGTTCTCCACGCAGCCAACCTCATCGTCGTTTCTTGCAAAGGCACCAGCTTCTTGCCGTAGCATTTCGTGGACGATCAATTGTTCATTGTCTTCTAGCGGACTCAAGTCAACTGGTGGCTCCCATCCATCTTGTTCCTGACCAGAATGCAAGGTAGCTTCAGGGTAAAAATCCTCGTCTCCTCGAGAGTACGAGTCGGGAGTATTTGGAATTGGTAGAACTGACTTTACCAGGTGTATCCGGCCCAATTCTGTTCTGCGCTTTAACAAGATGTTTCTGTCTGTATTGTTTTGGACCACGACGGCCACGTGACTAGAGGTTCCCGGGGTTATTTTAGTAAGTTCCTCGCCCAATTCCAGTCCGTCTGGGAGCTCGCTGTCTTCCTTGGGCTCAAATATTACTGGCATCCCCTCTGGAACTGGTCCGAGGTGAGTTTGACACTTAACTGTCGTTGCCTCTCCTTTTGGCAGCATAACATCTCTCTTTCCGACTTTAACAGCTGCAGTACCGGTATCCTGTGTTCTTGACTGGATCAGATTGATCAGGGTACCTACGCGAGTATGATGAATTGAAGGGAATGACTGCTGAATGATGTTACTTGCCGCTTGGTGGTTTCCACCATGTTGAGCGAGGACTTCTTCTATAACATTGAAGCCAATGATTGGGTACTCTTGTTCCTTTTGTCCCACCAGTACTGGAACTGTCAGCTCATGAGCAGTTGTATCATCTCCAGCCAACTTAAACCCGACCTCAATCCAACCGTCAAATGGAATGTTTGTCCCATTCATCGCTTCCAAATTCAACTCTTCTCCTGCTCCCAACAACTCTTCAACATTTCTTAACACCTCCAGCGGTAAGTGAGTTTGTTGCCACTTCCTTGACACAACACAAACCTGGGAACCTGTATCCCATAATGCCTCCACTTCCTTTCCTTGAATTAGGCATTTTACCACGCACCTCCGCCCCGATTTTTTTTTGTCAGTCCGAGCTGCTGCCTTGGCGTCAGGTGGCAGGGAAACGTCGTGTTCAAATCATCGCCATCATCTCCGGCTGCTTTCTGTTTCTCAAGTTCCTGTATAGCCATGCAAACTGGTTTATGCACAGTTCTGTATTTTACTTGACATTCTTTTGAATAATATCTATTGATCTTACAGGCTCCGCAGCGGTTAAGTGGTACATGGTCTGTGCTTTGTTTTCCACACTGCACGTAACGGGACTGATTTTCTTGCCTGGTCACACCCTGTCCCATGGGCGTGACCTCTGGCCGCTTCCCTGAGATTCTGCCGGAGAGCGTCGGCTGAATTGGGCATTACACTCGCGTACATAATGGCCACTCGCCCCCACACCTGA